CAAGATGGTAACAATATTAATGCCTCATTGGTGCACATACGAATAGAGCTATGAAAGGTGTTAGTTTGTCCAATATCAAATAGATGTAACATCACTAATGGCAACTAGTTTTAGTTTAGGTTATACACACATGTAACGTATTGGAGTTGGTACTTCTATAGAACCAGAAGTTTCTTTCTGATATTGGGCTGACTATTGGTATTATTTTATTTCATGTTATTTACATTGGAGGGTCACGGACTAAACCAATACTCTTCATTCAATATTTAGACCTTATACTAAAAATATTCAAATTTATTCATAATTACAACAAATATTAAAAGTAGTCTAAACCATTGGTTTATCGGTAGCATATTCACATGGGGGCTATTTTCTTAATGGAATTAGTATTATTATTTTGTACAACACGAAAGGATTCTCGATATTGAACTTGTGATTGTGTGACTTATCGGTTAATTAAAGTGAAAATGTTATGTAAGTGAGTTTACAAAGACGATTTTACAAAAATGAAAAATGAAATAATAAAAAATAAAAAATAAAAAATAAAATTGTTAGATAAAGAAAAACAATAATGTATGAACACGTGAGGCAACAGTGAAATGAAAATGTTGTCATAAGAATATTGATAAAAAGAAAAAAGGTTAGAACATGATGACGTGAAGATGGCGATGGAGTGGAGGGTCTCTCATGGCAACCTGCGTGTCACAACTTGTCTCTACTTTTACGCTTAAGTCCAAAAGAAAACCTCACATAAAAGAAAGGCCCTCACGTGACCTATGACCCCACACCACGTGCTCCTTACCTTGTCAACATCAAAAACATCCCTGCCCTGCCACACCTTCACATGTTCACTTTTTTCTCTCCCTCCCCTCCCCTCCCTCTTATGCATTCATAATGGTTAGCTTAACCCTACAATTCCATGCATTTTGTGGCTCAAATTATACCCTAAAACACCTAAGAAATTAATTAAGATCGTTTCAAATTATACCCTAAAACACGTTAGATACAAAGCTTGTTTCACGTATTTATGGATATATATATATATATACATCAATGATAAGATACATATTCTTAATTAGTTAAATTTATTCCATAAATACATGTAATAGATTATTCTTATATTATCATAGTAAATGTACCTGTATTACTTAAATTCTTTATTTAATATTTAGTGCATGATTGTAGAGAATGTTCCAAAATATCTATAATAAAGACTCTCGATATAAAGATTTATAATAACTTTGAAATAGAATATATCTCTTATTCTATGTACTAAAATTTGAATAGTGGACGGTGATAGTATAAGTGTTAAAAACTTTTGAGATATCCGTTCCTACTTTTTCCCAAAAAAATTATATTCTTTTTAGAAGTACAAAAGTTTCTAAATGAGGATACTTTTGGTGATTAGGCATACCAAAAGTACTCCTGAATACAACTTTTAAGCTTCGTATTACTTTGAAGTTATGGGCAAACGTTGAGTGATAGTACATTCGGTTTCTTCTAAATGTTGGGGGCATGTGTTTTGGTTTGTGTAGACCATAAAACGTCCTAATTTGAATCGAAGAACAAATAAAAGAAAACCTATCTACGAGGAAAAGGAAAATGGACATGTACAAACAAACAAAAGAACAAAGAAAAAAAAAAAAGGTGAAAAGACAGAGACATGTCGTAGGAGGAGGCAAAGGCACAGAGAAGGAAATTAGGTTGTCTTTTTGGTTGTCCATTGGATTCCATAAACCAAAAGTAAAGGGAAGATTTGGAGAAGAAATGAAGAAGAAGCAGAAGAAGAAGAAGAAGAAGAAGAAGAAGAAGAAGCACTCAGAATCATTCCAAATAGCAAATGGCTAAGTTGCTTACTTTACAAATATGAACATGCCCCACTTAAAATAATTGCCTTCTATGTTCTTCTCATTTAAATTCTTTCCCTTTTTTTCTTTCTCTATCCTTATAGAATATATTGAATCGGGTGCGATTTCATTACATAATTTATCTATTGGATCACGATTCGACTTTCTAAAATCTTTGACAGATCCGAGTTCATTACCAAACTCATACGTTTTAAAGAAACAATAAAAAAAAAATGCTACATAATGATGGAAATGTTGAATAATAGAGAGGCAAACGTTACCCTAAGAGTTATCCCCAATTTTTACTCAATTTTTAGAAACCATATGTACACACGGACCCTCTAGACAGGCTCGCATATGTACCTCTAGATTTGAAAACGGGTTACCGCACACTTATGTTGTCAAAAACCAACAAAAAGAAAAAAAAAAAAGTGTATCATATCATTGTGTGTGTCTATAAAGCACACTGGGAAAGTATCCCGTGTTTGTGACATACAATATGTATGAGGTCCCACATTTTCAAATCATGGTACATGGTTATGACGTACGTTATATCTCCATACTTTCCATGACATAACCTTCTTAGAAGGCATGCATTCATGTACATGGCATATCACTCATTCTTATCATACATGATTCATTAAGTATCTCATAGGGTCTAATGTGAATATGGTATTATAACGTACATGGATTGACATACTTGAAGTACATGCATCACAAAAAGTTCTAAACATCACATCATACAAGTAATGAAACGTCGCTAAGCCATAGAGCACGTGTCATTCATACAACATATAATTTATTCAACCTAGTCCAAAAGTATTCCAATAGTAAGATCACTTACTTAATTGGCTTAAGCGGAAGTCGCTAAATACGCTTATTTGGTGTTAGTCGGATCCTATTCGTAGAAGTCCAATTCCACCTATGAAGTTCTACGACATCATAATTATGATATCTCTAAAGAACAAATCATCTAACTCTCTTACTTGATGTAAATTTGGCTCCAAATATTTTAAAATTGGCTAAATCATCTAACTCTCTTACTTGATGTAAATTTGACTCGGAATGTTTTAAAATTGGCTAAATAGTAGCTATACTAACCTCAAACCCTCCCAAATATTAATGGAGGGCTCCAAAATAGTCTAGAAATATAGGAATGAGTACAAAATATCAAACAGAGCTTTTTAAGCCAAGTTGAGCGGTGTGCGAATTGCAGATCGGAGAGAGTGTACTTGTAATTTTACTTGTGGCAACTGCTCATCTGTGTGCATAAATTTACCGATTTTAATGATTTTTGGTCCCTTGATTTTGTTATATTTTATGGTGAATGTATGCACATCTAACCCCAACAAAAGGGTTTCTTAATGATTATTTTCAATTGCTAGCCTTCCTTAAAATGCTCTCGTTGTAACAATACTTAGTTGCATCTTAGTAATAATTACAAAATGGGTCATATTAATGGAATAAGAGACCAAACTTTACTCATTTATTTGATCCTTTGCGAACAAAATAAACGAAAAGAATTATTAATTATTAATTATAAATTATGATCAATTTCATATGAGATAAAAAAAAACAAAACAAAAAAAAAAACATGAATGTCAAAATTAATTATTCTAATATTTTTTAAAAAAACATAACTTGTATTAAATACAAATTCCATGTGCAACCCACGTGTTTGTTGGTAGCTAAATAAAATACCTTCAATCTAAATCAATATTATTAAACAATAAAAAAAAATTACCTTAACAAAAAAAATTAAGAATTTCCCACCTAATTGAAAAATTAAATAATTTCAACAAAATCAACGAATCAAATAAATCTAAATAATTATAAAAAAAAAAAACAAATAATCTCCCAAATTAAATAATGTCAACAAAAAAAAAAAAAAAAGAAAAAAGAATCAATAAAGTATAAATAAGTAAAGGCTTATAGAAAAAGCTAATTCCCAAAAATGTAGGATTCACAAGAGAAATGTGAGGGAGGGAAGATATTAGGGAGATACGAAATTGGTAAAAATAAGTTTCATAAAAAAATAAAATAATTATAAATAAAAAAATAAAATAATATTATTTTAAAAAATGAAAATTAAAAGAAAGGAGGGTGGGCCAGTGCATGAGAATCTTCACGTGTATGCTACAATCAAACAGGAAAGACAAAATAAACAAAACAAAAAAAAAAAAAAAAACTTAATATCATTAAATTANTAATTCCATATTTATTTATTTCTCCAATCCCTAAAAACACACCAATAATAAAAAATAAAAAATAAATTTAAAATTATTACGTTTAAAATTCGGTGGGGGATGGTGCCTCCACAACCCAATACCTAACCCTCATAAAAAATAAAAAATTAAAAATTAAAAAAAAAATAATTATTTCAGAAATCATTCTATATTCTTATGATGGAAAGGGATTAATTATAGGGAAACGATTTTTGGTTTTTGGTTATATTATTTTTTACATTTCAATAAAAAAATAAAATAAAAACGTTACAATGCATGCATGTGTAAGCGTTTCAAGATAGAATAATAATCATTTTATTTCTTTTCCATTTTTTTAAAAATTTATATATAATCTGAAGAGATGAAATAAGCGTAATTAATAAAACAATAAATAAATTGACTCAAATTTCATTATTATATAATAAATAAATAAAAAACCTCATTGGTAGCCCACGAAATATATAAAAATTAATACATCTTACTCGAAACTTAATAAAATAAAATAAAATAAAATAAAATAAATAAAAAAACTACCTGATATTTTTGGATCGCTGGTTGAAGAACTTGGGAGGCCTGCCTATTTGTTGCAATTCAAAAATCTGAACAAAACAAACATAAAAATTATATATTTTTTATTATATTTATTGTAAAAATGGTAATATATATATATATATATATATATATATGGAACTCGTGAGTGTGGCAGACAGGGTGTTGTGTAGTATAAAGACGTAAGGGCATAAAAGAGAACAAAAGCGACAAAGAATGAAACAAAGAACCCTAAATATACTGCATGCCTTTCACTGTCCTCATGCAATTACCGATGCCCCCCGCCACGTCACTTTAACACATCACTTTTTTATATATTAATTTATATAATAATATAAAATAAATTATTTTGACGTATGTACCTGTTTCTGTGTGTGTACTTTTTGTTCTTCTTCTTCACTTCACTTCACTTCACTTCACTGGTAGTTTCCATTTCCACCACCAAAACCTTGACTTGACGGCGCTGAATTCCTCTCATTTCCCTCCAAAACAATCCCCTCCGCCCCTTGTTTCTGTGAATAACCGCCGCCGCCACCGCCGCCACCGCCCCCGCTCATACGTCTTACAATCTGTCCAACGCCTAGGAAGTCTCTTGTTAACCTATCTGTCCCTCCCATCCTCACTCCCCTTACATCCTGTTGTAACTTCGGATCCTCCAACGTTTCCATATTGCTTCTACTACTGCTGCACTCCAATCCACCAAATGAGTTCATCCCGCTCCCGAACATCCCACTTCCCGAGCTCCCGCTCTCAAATGAGTTCATCATATCCTGAAGATTGCTCTCATGTTCCCCAAATGTTACTCCTCCATAACTCAATGGGAAAAGCGTTCTGTCTGATGCTTTCCCCCCTGAGTTCGAGGAGCTTCCAAACGACCTTAGCAACGTTGATGTTGTGTTGCTACTCGATGTCGTTGAACCCAATTGAGCTGCCTTCTGAAGAAGCGCTGTCGCCGACATATGTGGGAACGATCCACCGATGCCACTACCGCCTCCACCACCGACGCCCAAGGCATTGCTGTAGAGAGATGGGAGTGCAGCTGAACTCATCTGATCGCCGATTACCGCGAAAATGTTAGAGGCAGCAGCTTCATTGTTGCCATTGTTTGTGGCACTGAATTGATTCAAATTGGTACTATTAGAGTTGGTGTCATTGTTATTGTTCAAATTGGTAGTACCATCGGCAGTAGAATTTGGAATGAACCCCAAATTGAAGACATTGGTAGCACAATTATTGGTATGGGATTGGATCTCAGGGAATTGCATCACCCCATGAAACCCCTTGTTTCCAAAGAACCCTTGTTGGGATTGGTTTGGCTGATCATCATGGAAGCTACTCTGATTATTCTGCTCCGTCAAGAAGAACCCCGACGCCGACATCGGCCGAAAGGAAGACCCCATGGATGAAGGAAGGAGATGAGTAAAGTGTCCAGGAGCAGATTGGTTAATGATATTGGGATGGTCTTGTGCTCCATATAAATGCCTTCCAATACTTGGAGGATGCCTAGCACTCTCTTGAGCCAATGCATCACAAAAAGCTCTATGAGTAATAAAACTATCTCGTCTGCAAAAACAACAACGACGACGAAAACAACAACAATCGTGGGTCCATCACAAGCGTTCACGGATTCAAAATCAATAAAGCGAAGAAGACGAAGAAGAGGAGACCTGGAGAAGAGAGTGCCACAATCGCAGCGATACTCGCGAGTACCGCACGTTTTGGAGTGAGCTTTCCAGTCGGACTGAACGGCGTAGCGCTTAGAGCACTTATCACACTTCCATTTCTTCTCGCCATGTTTTCTAGAGTAGTGTTTTTTGATGCCGGTTAAGTCGCCAAGCGCCCTTGAAGGGTGGTGGTGGACGCATGTGGGTTCAGGACATAAGTAAACCTTGCGCTTAGGGTCTTTAGTGGATTTTTGCTTTAACTTCCAAGGCAAGTTGTGACCTCGTCTATGAAGCTGAAGGTTTTGCTCTCTTTGAAACCCTTTGTTGCAAACTTCGCAGATGAATCTGTTTGTAGCCATTAGGGTCTTGGGACTCAAGGCTATGACCTCCGCATCTGGGTCTGAACCAAACAACAATAAATCCAAATCCAAATCCAAATCCAAATCCAAATCAAATTCAAATTGAAAAAAAAGAAACAAAATTTAGGGTTTCGTTTTTTTGGGGGATTGAAAAAGAAAAAGAATTACAATACTTGCTTGGAGTTCCTGGTTGGTTTCTTTTTTTCTTAGTGGAAGAATTAGAGGGAGGCCTCATCTGGGGAGTTGCTTCTTCTCCAACGCCATAAACTGGAAGTGAGGAAGAAGAAGATGCAGCCATGTTGCTCTCAAACTCTGCAACTTTTGATTACAAGAAGAAGAAGAAGAAGAAGAAGAAGAAGAAGAAGAAGAAGAAGAAGAAGAAGAAGAAGAAGATGAAGAAGGATACAAGAATCAACTCCATCTCTGAAGCCCATTAGATGCCTTTTAGTTTTACACACACTCTCTCTCTCTCTGAATTTTTTCTTTTTTTTTTTTTATGGAAATTAGAATTAAAATTGAAGAAAATAAAAGAAAAAGAAAAATATGGTTTAATTTTCAGATACAGAAGCACACATACAAAATAGAGGCGGAAAAAAAGAAAAATAAATGGAAATTAATTGAAGAGAGAGAAAGATGGAGAGAGAAAGAGGGTAGGGGGGTCGGTGGACCCAATCCATACCCACAAAACGACGCAGTATGGTGCGTGAGGGCAGCATGAATTGAACATTTTTCTCTCTCTCTCTCTCTCATATTTCGTATCTTGTTACTCACTTCCAGACAACCTTTCTTCGTCACCTGCCTTACTGGGCCTTATTGCCCTACACGGAAATTATAATATATATATTCATTTTTAAAACAATAACCTTTTTCATTTTATTTAATAATTATTTTTTTTTTTTAAGGACTTGAGAGGGTAAAAATGGAAAATGGAAAAGCACCTGAAGAAGGATTATAGGGAAAAAGGCTGAATTTCATCTATTATTTTTACTTTACTGCTTCTTCCTTTATTTATTTACGTTTAATTACCCTGCCCTGCTCCAAGGGTGTTTTCGTCATTTAACCCAAGTGGTCGAATCAAATTTCTAAACCTAACCACTCCTACACATTTCCATTTTTTTAAATATATATATATATATATATATATTTCTCCATTATTATATCACGGGAGCGTTTCTTTTATTTTGTTAAATTTTAATTATTTCCTTTAATTCCTTGTTTGTTTCAATTTATGCTTCCAACAAAAAGGAATGTGGCTTCGTCCCTTTTTATATAAATGCATCCATACCCTATGTCCTAATTACTCATATTTTATAAAACATTACCTTATTACATTTTTACATTATAATATAGTATTCAACCATGAAATGAAGCTAATTAAATATGATATATTATAGTTACATAAAGAATACATTTGATGGTTGGATATTACATTATTACGAGAAATTACAAAGGCCTATTATTTTTTTTAAAAAATAAAATAAAATAAAATGTATTATGAATTTAAAAATAAAAAATCTCCATCACTGAAATAAGAAAAATACAAAAAACAACTAATTCTTGCTCTCTTAAATGAGAGAGAAAACAAAGCACAGAATTGACTATTATAATTTCCATAAAAATAATTTCAAATATAATTAAATATATATTTTAAAGCCTCAAAAGTATTCACTTATTTATATTACACTCAAATTTGTAATTTAAGTAGTAAATAAATAAATTAAAAAAAATCATAAATGAAGAGGAGATCTGTATTTGTGGAATTGAGAACTTATAGATTGTGTGAGACAGACAGTAAATTTAGTAATTTCCACATTTAGTTTAATGTTTATTAATTTCCTTAGAGAATGACAGATCTTTATTCCAACGCCAGCTAAAATAAATAAATAAATAAATAAATAAATAAATAAATAAATAAATAAATAAATAAATAAATAAAGTGAAGCCAGCGTGGCTTGCAGACTTGTCATTCTTCTAAACACTGACAGCTTAACAATAATCATGCATATTTATTTTTTGTAATTTAAAAAAGGACAAATTATAAGCCTAAGCAAATCCACTAAATGCTATTAGGCGGCTTTGATCATATGTATGAATGAGTAATGAGTTTGTGACAACATATTCCAAATTGAGGCCTTAATTATTTGCACTTAAAAGATTTTCCTTTAAATGTTGTTATATGTTTTGTACCTTTTCCTTGGAAAGAAATCTGCATGTCATCCTCCACATAAGAATTTATGAGTGGGCGAGTCTTTGAATTCGAGAGGATGGGTCAAGGAGAAGTTCGGGACGAAATCAAAGTGAGTTTGCGGTAAAGTGGTGCCCATATCGAAATCTTTCTAATCCTCTGAAGATTAGTGAGATTTCAATGTACGAGGTGAAGGACGTGAGACTGAGACACGACCCAGACTCCCACAAGAGAGAATAGTGGAGAATGGATAAAGTGATAGTAAATCTATGGTTATTGGCGTTCTTACTATTTCCTCTCGAACGTCTTAAATAAATAAATAAATAAGAGAGGTTTTAAAAATAGAAGGAACATAGTGAAATGAGTATACATCACTTAATTTCCATTTTTGCAAAAGCAAGGGTAGAGATTGTGATAAGCTAGCTAGGATGGCTACGACCTTTCTTAATGAACAGTGTTATGAGACCCATAGCACCTATATATCATAAATATTTTAATATCAAGTTTGAAACAAAAGAACAAAATACGTACTAGTTTGAATATCGGTTTTGAAAAGTTGGCTAGCAGACAACACAAGACTATAGAGTCATTGATTCTACAGAGTGACCTCGTGTGTTTGCTAGCTACTAGGCTGACTATCTGGTACCATATTCCCTATTTCTATAGAAGCAAGATCCTAGCCATTTTTCATTAAACAAAGGCACATAGTCACTATTTCAGTGGGAGATATTTTTATTAACTTAGCGTATATTATATATTATAGGCTATGACTTAGGGCATCGATCTCCCACCCATTATATATCTCAGTTTGGGCCTAAGCGCATAAGTTTCAACATCAAAGTTTATTATTTTTTACTTCAAATTTTTGGAAACCTATTTTTTAATTATTTTACTCGGAAATTGATAAGCCCCGATATTTTCTTTAAAATATATTTGTCAATTCAATAGTTAATTTGTACTTCATTCTATCTATCTTAGTCGATCTAAGGTTATTCGAGCGACCCTCCATCGCTCGAACTTAGAAGGTGAAAATCTCAATTTTCAAAAACGTCGAAAATGTTGATATCGAAATAAACAAATATTTACTATTAATATATAAAATTCCTATTAGTGATAATTGGTTACAATAATAAGTGATAGAATTCAATATATTAATTTGGTTTATTTTGAATGAAAGATAGATAGATTTTTTGAGTTCCACTGACCCATATAAATCCAAAATTATTTTTTCATTAATCATAATTTATAGAAAAAAAGAAATTAGACATGCACGAGGTTGGTCTAATCGCATTAATTAGTCTAAATCAAATTTGTAACCTCAATTATTAATATTTATAAATAGACTAAATTAATAAATATATTAACTAAAATACTTTAAAATAATATAATTGAATTAAAAAGCAAACCAAACACAGCATAAATAAATAATCATCAGCAAATTGTTGAATTCAAAGATGGTGGAGCATTTGGAATGCCTTCCATTGTGCCCACTTTCTTATTTATTTATTTATTTATTTTTTGGAATTTAAGATATGAAAAAAAAAAAAAAAAAAAAAAAAAAAAAAAAAAAAAAAAAAAAAAAAAAAAAAAAAAAAAAAAAAAAAAAAAAGTGGAAAGGGAAGGAAGAGTGGAGGGGTGGTGCTACTTTGTTTATATTATTGTCAATGAGAACTTACAAGACTCTTCTCTTCTAATTTATGTGGTTCATATCAAAAGCCTTCCTTTTCATTATTTTCTTACATATTCGATTTTGACAATATCAAGTCAACATTCACGCACCCACCTAGACATGCGTATTACGATCACGTTCATGTTGGTTACTGACCATGTGACCTACAAAATCTTCTAGAGGTAGCGTTTTAGGTTTAGGACTAGTGTATTGCATTGTGTATGGAGTGGAACTCTCTAAACCTGCTCAAGAGCAAGGGATTATATAGGTACATGACCAAGGACTAGACAGTTAGCCAAGGTCCTTAGGTTAAGAACCATGATATGCCTTATGGTTAGGATAAGATTGAATTTTATACTCATTCTAATTTTTACGCGTTTATCACATAATGACAAGGAGTTAGTCTAGAGTAGTTGCCATAAAGAGACAATCTTAGTAACAGACCCTTGTAATCGGTTCCCTATTATTATTATTTTTTTAATTTTCCATAATGTTACGATCAGTACTCAACTTGACAAATTAGATAAAGCTTGAAAATTGTTTTAAAACTCCTTGAAAAAACGATAATATTCTTGTATGTAGGTATGCATGTATACTTGCATATTCTTGTGAAGAGCTATAAGCAACTTGTATCTTCCGTATAGACCTAACACCCGAATTGGGTTGGGTCGAGTCAGTGTCGTTACATCATAAAACCAGCTACAATACGAGGATCATTAGACTCAGTCTGTAAAGAAATTAGCTGGAGTAATGCAACAAACCACATATGTAATTGATTCATATATACCCTGGAAGCTTCCACTCCTTGAACTTCCCTTTCAGTGAGTCAAATATTATGGCATAGTGCACTAAGTTGAGCTCTCCATTGTTTGAAGATTTGAAGTTGTTATTGAAATTTAGAAACAGTAATGAGTATCTGTTGGTATAAAAGTCGATATCTATCTATATATCTATCTATAGAAACACCCTCTGTAAGGCGTCCAATAGTCGGATCCACTGTTCTCTCTATACACTTGTGGCGTGCATGAAATTGGAACTAAACACAGCCCTCTGCTCCTTAGCTCCATTTTCCCTTCCCCTTTTGATTCCTTTCTCTCCAAGCTTTGCCATGCATCCTGAACATACATAACCCCATATCAACCTTCTATTCATATTCATATTCATATTCAATTCTTTATACCTTATACGAATTCGTCTTCATGTAAGGATTCGTCAGCAGCTGAAATATGGAACAAAAAAAAAATTATAAACACGAACCATTACATTTAGTATGAAGATTGTTGGAATCCCAGATCCTTGGAATCTCATATTGGATGATCAAAGAGAAGATTATATGAAACAAACCTGAACTTGTTCTTGTAGGAATTTAATGTATCCGATGGTTTCGTTTAGAACAGACGCGGTATCAGTCTGAGAAGGAATAATAATAATAAATAAATAAATGAAATGGAAAATGAAATGTTTCGTTCTTTTTGAGTTCAAGTTCACCTTTCCAAATGGTGACACAATTTGTTGAAGGGTCGTGATTCTATCCCCAATTTTGACCTTTGGTTGCTGAATCTGTTCAATGCATCATAAACCCTTTAAAATATTACAAAAACGCTATAG